CTGCCAGGTGGGGTTACTTTATTATTTTATTGCCATTATTCTGGCTGTGGTTATATATAAGCTCACTCAGAAGGGGAAGGCAGTAAATGCGGACAGTGAGGGTCAACGTTGCGCTTGGGCAGCTGCTCTCTAGCTCTTTAATGTCCTGCCGTATTTAGGGCCTTGTCACCCACATCCTGTCCAGGATGAGCCCTGCCCATTGTCCCAAGCATCCAGGCTTACCTACCTGTCTCCCAAATAAGCAGCTATGGACGGTGGATAGACCGATGGATGATGTGATCAATTTAATTGTAAGTAAAGGATTTCAGAACCAGAATATCTCTCCTTTCTCAGGTACTGTAGGAGCAGTAAAAATTATCCTGCCTTTTGCCTGTGTTTGTAATTCCTGTAGCTGTCTGCATATTACTTGTCACTGTAATTAATGTGCATTTAATGTATAATGTGTGACACTGTAGGTTAGGCCTTTGTGCCTGTGATCAGAAGGTCCTATGTTCGAATCCCATGGCCAGCTGAGTGATGTCACCCCTGAACCCATGAGCAAGACAATTTAAGAACTTAACTAATAGGTCATAGTTGTTAAAATCTTATCTAGCTCTGATTTAAAGGAACCCAGGGTTTTAGCTTCCGCTACACTAGCAGGAAGACTATTCCATACTCTAACCACACGCTGTGTAAAGAAGTGCTTCCTCAAATTCATTTTAAAATGTTCTCCTGCTAATTTCCACCTATGGCCATGAGTTCTAGTATTTAAACTAATATTGAAATAGCCATTTGGCTGAACAGCATCCAGACCTGTTAGGATCTTACATACCTGGATCATGCCACCCCTTAGTCTCCTTTGCTCACACAATACATAGCTTTAAACATTCTTTGACTGCCTGAAACCTTTGCACAGTACTGTGCTCTTCAAGCAAACTGTGAATTCCAATTTTAATGTTAAGCACATGAAGACATTACAAACACACTCACTGAATTATTCAGTAGGTACTTGTCAACATTTTTAAGCATACTAACATTTTCTTGATATAATGCATGTAATCATAGGATAAGATGCATACAGTCATGTGACTGAAGCACAAATTGCATACTCGACATGGTGCGTGTATAATTATGCCAATCAACATCTAGGCTGAAGTCCAGATGTTTATTGGTCTAAGGTCCAGTACGCATCCAGCTGCGTAAACGGATGAAACTGTAAGCCAACATTCTCCAAGATTTCATAATCCCTGATATCTTTCCTGCTAACTAAGTCATGCCAGGGTATTTTCTTTTATCCCCCAAACTCTAAAAATCAGGCCGACTGGGATATGTGAGAGCCAGTCTTTGAAAAGCGTGAAACGGCTCAAAAGACAGAAACCGCTTCTATAAATCAACACCCACCAAGCTTTATTCCTCCCAAACCAGAAGTGCTCTGCATAGCTTGGTCTGCGGTCTCCCTATGTAATTACACTGTGGACTGACGTGACATTTAAACAAATCTGCGAAAACAGTTAGGATACATTCACACACAGACTTATATATTTACAAAGAGCAAGTTGAGGGAGGCGTAAAAACAATTTCCCCACGGGGATCAATAAAGTACCAATTATTATAATTATTATATGAAGATCCCAACACAAAATATCAAAACAAAGGACAAAACTTCTTCAAGCATCCGGAAAAACAATAAAGTTGGATTGTGACTAGATCTCTAGCTGTGATCTCTGTGGTCCGCTAAGGTAATACCATAATTAAATAGTTTAAAACGCTCTAAATCATGTTTTTATTCCACATGAAGGATCTATTTCCACTTCTTGAGCCACATAAAAGCAACAGGCATGAAAAGTTTTTCTGTTATTTCTTAAACTGTATTGTTCTTCTTGGCCAATGTGACGCTAATTCATGGTCAGCTGACATCGACTCCACAGCATAATGGACAATGAACCGACGGAAAGATGCGAATGCAGATGCACAAGGCCAGTTTCCAAACCCCAAACTTTACTCCAACAGCCATCGTCAGTTACAATGGCAGAAATTCCCATGACAGAGCAGGGTGACATGTAGAGACACACCTAATCCAAGACAAAGGTGAAGAGAAACAACAAATGAATCAGACAAAGGTCAAACATGAGATCGAAAAGTACCAAAGACTGAGTATGAGTAACAGGCAGTACTACTTACACCAGTGACTGAAAATAAGGTGTTAACAGACCCAAATAGGTAAACAAGTGAGCTAATACGCAAGCAAGGTGGATCAAGGTGAGGTTGGTGTGGCTGAAGGGAAACACGGAGCGGTGTAGGTATGGCAGATGGAAACCAGACTTCGAATATTACAAGCAGCATACAGCACACCTGGGGAACCTAGACCCTAACCTATGAATAGTGAAGGACATTAACGCACGTACAGCCTTCTGGGTGGGATTCAGCTTTGTAGCAGGTGCCTGTGGAAATGGGTTCTATATGGGAAAGTCTCAGGGAAATGGACGTCTCTGACATGCTGGCCATTGCGTAACCTCTACTAGGGTAAAGGTTTGGGTCTATCAGGCTTTCCTTAACTTCCTAGGCCCCACACATTTGACTTGCTAAGCCAAGTGAAATGTTTTGACATGGACCCGTCCTTCAATGCAGAATCAGGGCAAACAGGTTTCCACATTTAGTGCATTCAAAGAACTTATAATATATACGTGGAGCAAACTGGTAACAAGTACAACAAGGAAAATAGATACACCATGTATGAACACCACATAAAAGCGAGAGGCAAATTCTGGATGCTAAAATTTGTCGACTACGGAGGGGGGGAGGAGGGGCAGGGGGATGGTCGATCGCGTGGTATTTCACACTCAAAGTCCACCAGCTGGGAATCTGGGTCTGGGAATCTGACCTGCTTTTGTGAAGCTGGGTGACTTGGTGGACAGTAGACTTTAAATGTTCTCCTTATGTTGAGCAGATGTCCCTCAGGTACTGCAAGACTTGTAGTTAGGTGCAGGAACGGAAAGGAACAGAGTAAACTTACTCTTATTACTGTAGCATAGTGGTTTTTTAAGGTATCTATAAATAACAGGACTTCTACTTTTACTTAAGTATTAATGATTTCAGGAATTGTACTTTGTTGCTTCCTAATCTGAGTCTGTTACAGAGTAAAAATGAAAAAAGGTCAAAGGTCGATCATAGGGTCACATGACAAAGTGGACAGAGGCCCACCGGTTGCGATAACTTGCGTTCAGCTGGCAAGCAGGACCATGGAAGTGGTATCTAGCAGACCTACTGTACAGACTTAAGCCCACCTGCTACTTCTTCAGACCGGTCATCAGAAGATCCCTAGCAGATATTCCCTGTTCACAATTAAGAGAGCTTTTTATTTTCAAGCCAGAAAGGGACAATGGTAGATGGTGCCGATTAGCGTTGTTTTCGTCATTATCTCTATGGAAAATAATCAATCGTCACCCAGATAATTATAATTTAAAAAATATGTTGCAGTGGTTCACAAGCCATTTACACCACGTACAACTGACTGATTCTCCCCTCTTCCTGCGTTGTGTAAGTAATTAGTTTGAAAAAGATGAGGAAGCTGAATCAATGTTGCATTTTTATTCACCACCTTGTGGATCCAATGTGGCACAAACCTTACACAAGGAAAATAAAAGGCAGTTAAAGTATGCAGAATACATAAAAATAAATCAAACAATTTCACCGTTATCATTGTTTTGAAGGTGTTCAGCTGGATGGCATCCTTCCTTGCAATTATTACTGAGATTATTGTCATTAGTAATAAGATTTAATAGTTTGATTTCATTCTTAGAGGAATGTCTTATGAGGAGAGGTTAGCTGAGCTAAAGACAAAATATTCTTTCAAATAATATCCCAGGGACACGTTTGCCCAAATAAAGTGCAAATACCAGTTTTGTCGAGATTAGGTTCCCTTTTAGTGTATCTGATAAGGCAAAGGAGAGCGCGCTGCTTACGCCCTGCTGGTAATTTTCCATTAAGTGTTTAAGTTACATGACGAGTGTCTTTGGATGGGGGGAGGGGGTACCTCTGCTTTACAAACCTTCTTAAAAAAAAGCAGCGTTTCCTTTTATAATTATCGCTATCTGATTTACGGAAATTTACCTTGCGTGGAATATACGCCGTGAACACAGCAACGTGTCTACATGGAGATATAAAATTTTCTAGGAATATCTGTGTTAAGTTTTGATGAGATCAACGATAATGCATATTATATGATCTGTAAAATTCTCTGTTAGCATCTGCCTTGTATATTTCCTATAATTATCGTTAATGATTGTTGAGTCGTGGTTAAGTTCCTGTTTGGGTGGTTTGCGTTCTTCATGTAAACTGAACCTAAACATAAAATGTAGAGGTTGGGGGGGTCTTCCATATATTAAGCTATGTAAATTGCTATCTGTATCAGAATTTGAGAAAACAGGTGGATGGATGGATTTAGATATGATCATCATACATAGAAAGAAATACGTAGAAAAACTACTGTAACACAGGTTTGCCGACTTTGGTCAGCTAACTGGCACAAGATTTTTATTCTAGGCAAGTCTGCATATGCATTTACATGCATGTAACAGTTTTATTACCTTGTTAATAGTCTGCGGCGTTTTTAAACAACCCCAACGCCTTTGACATAGCGAACTTGAGGTTTTATAATGGAATAATATAGATTTGTTGCGTGAGTGTGAACGCGTGAGTGTCACGACAGATCTGTGAGAGTAATAATAAAACAAATAATAACAGGACCAGCTAAAGGAAATCGATAGACAGATGGGTAATAATAACGAGGCTGCAGTGACTTGTACACTGAGTTCATGACTTAAGCCATTTAAAATCAGATTGGCGTTTTTCCTTATAGGAATTGCATTTCGCAAAAGCTGCCCCCGTTGGCAATGGGAGCACATGGGGATGTCAGTTTTATCTCGCCCTTCATTGGCCGAAGCGGGGAGCAGCCCCCGCTTTGCCTACTTTTCAGCGGGGTGGAGTTGGATGGATAGGATCAGGGGGGCGGGCGTCTGCGCTTTAAGCGGCCGGTGTTGTTTGTGGTGACAGTTCAGCCGGGCCGAATTTCTGCCGTCGCACTTCGGCTGTTATACTGTACATGTGGCTCTGGCCGCCTGGTCCACTGGTGTCTCTTCGCATGGTGTCTACAGGAGCTGGCGGCGTTTGCGCCCAGAAATGAGTAGCTTTCATGTAGATGATTTTATAGCAGGGTGGATAGGTGGTGAGTGTCAGCATCTCGGGCATTTTTATATTATTCATTATGCTGCTTCGGGCGTAATGTATATTTAGAACCAGTACTGGCAACCCTTAAAAATAGCTTTTTTTTCGTGTAGGCAAGTTTAACATTCCTAAACCTTCTTTTCATATAGTTGCGTTTTCATACATTAGTACTTAATGCTTTTAAAATCTTTTTATATTTGCACTTAATATTTTGCCAAAAAAATAAATGTGAAGCACGTGTTAAGTTTTATATTTAAAAGCATTTGATGTTTTATGCATGCAGTTTAGATCTTAACGGTATGGAGGCACTGAGCGTGCCAAAACAGAAATTTCCATTAGGGGCGTTGTTGCAGACGTGTTTTGACCTGCTAGTTCGCTGTTTTTCTGTGCAAGCCTGTATAGCTATATCTTTTTTCGGTTTAAGCTTCGGTTAACGCTCTTTGGCGTTTCTTTCTCCAGAGTTATGTAAACCATCCGATCATACTGAAGCAGTTAGAGGTTTCAATTAACCGTTTTAAGTTTCTTTCCGTGGTCAAATCACGAGCGTTTAAATGACCCAAAAATACACAAGCAGACGAGAAACGAAAAGCTTTAAACCTGCGTGATATTGAATCAATGCAGCGCAATATATGATACATAGTCCTATGTACGTGTCACGCGTTTTTCAGTTACTTTAGAGCACGCTGCTCATAAAAACACCACGTTTACTGGTTTCTGAGATGACTCGGGGTCGTTTTATCAAATGCAATAAACTTTGCATTGCACTAAGAAAGTTCACTGCATGATGAATCGACGTGCAGCAAAATCAGGTTCATACCTCAACACCATTAAATGTGCTTTAATTGAGGAGCACTTGCCCGTTTATAAACTGAAAACCTTAATGATCCTATATAATTATAATGGTCTTTAGGGTTGTCCCTGGTTACAATGTATATACTGCTTCACAACAAGAGTCATCGGCCAGGTTTAGGGTGCATATAAGCTTTAAGGAAACAAGACAATTAAATGTTGTTGACGGAAATTCATAGCTAAGCTGTTTTTACTTTCATTTTATTCAAAAAGGTTTGACTCTTGAAAATCTTAATTTCCCCCGTCACCCCCCCCCTCTCTCTCTCTCTCTCTCTCTCTCTCTCTCTCTAGGTGCATCTAGCGTTATTGTTGGACACCCACTTGACACAGTAAAGGTACTGTGCTCATCCTGCTGAAGAAAAACCATTTAGGGTTTAATCACCCTTAAAGCTGATGTCTGTTTGTACACCTTAAAACGTGGCTACAACTGTAAGTCTTAATAACCCTTTTTGATGCGCACTTGGAATCTTTCAGTCAGTCGCGTAGTTGGACTTGCCTGCAAAGACGGCTAATTTCTAGCAGGTCACTGCATAAGATATTCCACTGCTGTGTCCCACAGACACGTTTACAAGCTGGAAAGGGATACAGAAATACCCTCCACTGTATTCTCACGATCTACCAGAAGGAAAGCGTAAGTGGCTTTCGTCGAGCTTGGTCAGTTCCTCATTCGTGTCCCCCCCCCCCCCCCCCCCCCCATGCCAAGGCTGAGGTAATTCTCAGGTACCCGGCTATGCTTATCTGCTGATTGGGAGTAAGTGGCACCAATGCCGATCACAGCAAAGGAGAAGGGGCAGAGCAGGTCCGATACACAGGCACGGAAAGCTGAGGCGATGCTTTGAAGGCAAAGTGGGTCGAATCAACAAAACACCTGAGCTCAGTGGGAAAGTGCAGCCCTCCCCCGAGTCCTGGTTCATTCATGGTGCTGGGGAGGTGCAAAGATACTCCATTCTACTGACTTCCAGTTATTTCAAAAATCATCCCGCGGCCAGCACTGCCGCTAACCCCCAGCCGTCTCCTTTTCTGTCCCGCCATTTGACAGATTTATGGCTTCTTCAAAGGACTCTCCTTCCCCCTGGCCAGCATCACGCTCTACAACTCGATGGTGTTCGGCTTCTTCAGCAATGCGCAGCGGCTCCTCAGCCAGCTTCGCCATGGCGACGCCAGGCGGCCCTGTGGCATGCTGGACCTGGCGCTCGCCAGCATGATGACGGGTCTGGTTTCCGTGGGCGTCGGGGGCCCCGTGGACCTCGTGAAGATCCGGTTGCAGATGCAGTCCCAGCCGCTCCTGGCAGGTAACGCTTCTGACCTTTAGGGGGTCAGGCTTCAGGGAGGAGGCCATGGCATGGAGTAATGAGTTGGGAGCCAAGTCCACATACCCCAACTTTAGTCAGAAACATGTGGACCTGTTTCCAGAGGGGTTACTTCAAGCCCCTCCTGGACGTAACCAGTCTAATTGAAGTGATGGCAACTATACTTTGCTCAGCATTATGATTTGCTTTGCAGACGAACATTGTGGAAATTTCCATCAAAAAAGAAGGCAAAGTTATAAGCTGCATTTGGTTGTAGAATTTTAGAAGCTGGTTCTGTTGGTCCCCTGTAAATACATACAGTTCTTTCCCCATAATAATATAATATGTCGTGTGTTTCTCCCCATGCGATAGAGAAGAAGTTCTCCAGAATAGTAACCGAGGGCGACATGTAACCGCATCCAGGCTGAGCTGGCCTCCGATCCGAGGTTGACCCAGCTCACGTTTCACCCTGTGTCCTCAGAGAGCCTCCACTTGGCAGGAGACGTCTCAGTCCGTGGGGTGGAGCTGCAGGGAACACGGCTGTACCGGGGTCCCCTGCACTGCATCGGCAGCATTCTGCAGACAGAAGGCGTGCTGGGGCTGTACCGGGGGGCTGGGGCCATGATCCTGCGTGACGTGCCTGGATACACCCTCTACTTCATCCCCTACATCCTGCTCTGTGATTGGTTGACCCCTGAAGGCAGCACCTCCCCTCACCCGTGTTTCATTTGGCTCGCCGGAGGATTGGCAGGTAAAGGAATGGAACTGGAGTGCCCTGCCTGCTTTGATGTCGGTTCCTTTGGTGGCACAGAGTGGGATGAACCTTCAGAACAGAAGGAGACAAGTAGATGAAAGGGAAATGGGGACAAGGCAGAGGATGGGCAAGATGGGCACACCTAAAGACACCCAACTATTAACAAGGGAATCCCAGAAACATCAAACAATGCCAGCCAGCTAAGATCCTCACATCTCTTCTCATCATCACACCCTCTCACCATCACTCATCTCTCACTTCTCAGCCACTCAGCAGACCCTCTAAATAACCCTCTTGACAGACTAAGGCTAACGGGTGTCAGCGACATTTCATTAGAGCTCATTTTCTGTAGCCCCGGGACTGATGTTCGCTCATCGTGACAGCCAACAAGAGCTCTCCAAACCCTCTCACTGGGCCGTTACTCTCCTTCTGTCAGGTCAAACATCAGAGAGCCTTAAAAGTTTGTCCTCTTCATGTTGCAAGTCTCTCAAGTCCGCTCCTCTTAACATATACCTAGGGTTGTAAAACGGTCCTCCGTGCCTAGTTTTCTAGATCCCTTGTCATCTGGAAATTGTTAGGAACTTAATTTCCCTGCTGGATGCTTTGAACTAAAAACAGCAATGTGTTTGTTCTGTGCTTTAGCCAGGAATCCCCTGGAGTTCAGTTTGACTTCAAACATCTTCTGTGTTGTTAATGTTGGGTATTTACGTATTTGAACCAAGGATCCGAATGGGTGCACGGACAGGCCTTGTTATCACATGCACCGGGGACACTTGTGGGATGACTCGATCTAGGAGCCACAGACTATCTCTGTGTGCTCCATACAGGCTTCAGAAACCTGAGAGTAACAAGCGAGAGACAGCTGGCTGCTTACTCATGTGGCAGCTTGGGCGCTTGTGGAGTGAGAGCCTCACTCTTAGTCTGCGGCCTTTATGTGGCCGTAACGGCTTTATGACCAAAGCCATAAATCTGCCTGAAAATGAAAGTATTTGGCAAGGATGACTTCTGAATCACCTACTGATAAACAGGAGACCTTCACTCTTGTCCAACACATAGGTTTCTCTTCACAAATCACTGTTGCGTGTTACATTTCCGCAAGAAGCAATATGGCTGCCCTAGTATCGATAAACCTTCAAATGTTTACAGCAAGCTGACCTTGTCTGGTTGGGATGCCGCTGGCCATGATGGTATGGCCAGGCCTCTTCTCTCGACCTTGCCTGACCTGCCCCCTCTCTCCACGCAGGCTCTGTATCCTGGGTTACAGCCACGCCCACTGATGTGATTAAGAGCCGACTGCAGGCCGACGTCCTTCACCAGCGGAAATATGAAGGGATTCTTCACTGCATCAACCACAGCTACAAGACAGAGGGGCTACACGTAAGCACAGCCTCTCTTTCTTCATACCTCCAGGGTTGGGGGTTTGAATCGCGGCCTGTGGGAGTTTGCGTGTTTACACCGAGTTTGTGCAGGGCTCCGCCAGGTGCTCCAGTTTCCATGTGGTTAGGTAAACTGGAATCTGCGGACTTGCTCATTGTGTGCATGGTCTCTGATGAACTGCCCCCCCCCCCCATGTAGGGATGACTGATGTTACGTTTATATAGCACTTCAATAAGACACCCAAAGATCTTCACAGCAACGGGGAGCCACTTCAGCCCCCACCACTGTGTAGCCCCCGTCTGCGTGATGCAACAGCAGCCATTCTGCACCAGTACGCTCATCACAGTAGCTATGGTGGTGACTGGGCAGGAGAGAATTCACTAATTTGATCTGATTAGGGGTCTGATTAGGAGGGCAGATTTGAAAGGGCTACAGTGGGCAATTTTAGATTTGAATGATGCCCAGGGATGTTTTATTACCTCAGATAGTCAAGACAAGTTTTATGTTTCATTTTATATCTGAACATCCATATTCAGAAAACCATTCAAAAACATTGTCAAAACTGAATTTTTGTTGTAAACTCTGACAAAAACGGGTATATTTCAACAAGTAACCTACAACTCTGTAAAAAAATTAAAAGACCACTTCCTATTTTTTTTTTTTTTTAATTAGCATTTTTGAATCCTGATTAATGCTGGTTCTGTAGGCAGGAGGCTGCACTGAGCGGCAGGTTGTTCCCAGGCCTAAAATTTCTAAGACAGCAGGACACAAGAACAGGAGATGCTGGGAACAACCAAAAACCAGCCAGGTAGAGGGCAGAAGTGAATTTCTAACGCCGCAGATGATCGTTAACTTGTTCGGCAGTTTCTCATGAATCTGAGGATGACATTAAGTGACCTTCAAAAGGAACGGGAAACATTAAGTGGTGTGAAGTGCACTGCTGGGACAGTTCATATCAGGCTCCTAGAAGCAGGACTGAGGTCCCATAAAGCAGGGAAGAAGCCCTTCATTAATGAGAAACAGAGAAGAACCAGGCTGCAGTTTGCAAAAAAATATATTATTCACAAATATACCCATAAACTGAGAGATGGAAAAACTGATTTTGCTGTGGTCTCTTAATTTTTCCCAGAGCTGGATATTAATTGTATTTATATCTATTTGTAGTTCCAAAGTACCAGTCCCTTGTTTGCATTTAAGACCTGGTCACCTAGCTGTGTTCCTCCAGTGCGTCCAGCTTACCATTGAAGGCCCATCTGGTGTGTGTCCATCTAACTGTAACAGCTTGCAGTGTTCTGACATGGTGTACAGGTCGAAGTTGACCTGTGGTACTTTCTGGAACAAGTTGTGCAAAGCCAGAGGTTCAACCAAGGTGAGCTGGCAGAGTGTTGATCATAAGACTCATTCACAGGGTCACCTTCCCAGTCTCTCCGAGGCCTTTGACCCCGTGTTTGGTGGTTGTGCGTGAGAAGACCTATTTCTGTGGTTAAAATCGATGCTAAATGTTCTAATTGCCTCAGCGAGGCTTATAAAACCTTATAGCAGGTCTGGTTCCTCCAATACAGCACATGAGCAATTATGCTCTAGGGCTTATTTACACTGACGCATGTGTGCTGATGTTATCATATGACATCATTCAGAGGCGATTCTAGGGACTCTGGGGGCCCTCCAACTCCCCCTGCCTCTTCATTTTACTGTGAAGTGTAAATTAATAATATTAACAAAAGAGAATTCATCGAACACAAGACTTTTATTTTCACTTTTGTGAACAACAGAATACACAAATAAAGCAGATTTGTCGTTGCAAAGGACCATGTAATCGGCCGCCCCCCGGGGCCCCCCCCTCCCAGCACGGGGCCCCAGGCCATTGCCTGCCCTGCCTGTCCTGTCACTGCACCTCTGACCACATTGCAGTGTTAAGAGAAACTGCTGCCTATCACCTGAGTCCCGTAGATTGGGCAGAACACAGGAAGTCTAAGGTCTAAATTTTGACGGCATAAACTCCACGTTAGTTGTTGGGAAAACGCCATCAGATGCTCTGCTACTTCTAATTAGAACCTACTTACCACCTTGCTAAGGGTGTCAAGCCTGAACGAATCTGTATGAGCTTACAGTATATTTACTACTTATCCTTAACACTTTAATGGTGAGCTTATAGCTTATCCCAGAATGCACAGGGTACAATGCAGGGGACACATACACAATGACCCACATTGGGCAATTTAGCGATTCCAGTTCATGTAAGTGCATGTCTTTAGACTGTGGGAGGAGATGGGCTTCACCTAGAGCAGGGTATTCAAATCACGGTCCGAGCACTGCTGATTTTCCAGCCTTCCTTTACCCGTGAGCCAGATGTGAAGCCTCCAGCCAATCAGAATCAGTAAGCATTAAACTAAGTACCTGGGAGAACTGAAAACAAGGCCTGGATTTGGAATAGCAGGCCAGATTGGAAGAGCCCTGCCGTAGAGGAAACCTGGATGACGTCTTGGACGACATGAAAAATCCACACACACACAGCGTGGAGGCAGAATTGAAACCCCCACCTCTGAAGGTGTAAGGGAACAGTGTTATCCAGTAAGACACAGAGTCACCCCACTTTCAGAGCCCGAGTGGAATGTTATGGAATGAGATTACAGTGGCTTATGGCCCCGTCTTTCTCTCCACACAGGTCTTCTTCCGGGGGGCCACCGTGAACGCCATCCGCGGCTTCCCCATGAGCGCTACCATGTTCCTGGGCTATGAGCTCTCGCTGAAATTCATCCGGGGCCTGTAGCCGCTCAGGCGGTCTCCTCCAACCCAGGGGGGGGGGGGGTTCGCTGATGTTGTCCTCACACAAATAACAGGGCAAACACACGGGGCCTGTCGCTTGCTGTACAGCAACTACCTTCTTACGTTAAGAAAGGGTATGAAAATAAGGTAGAATGTTTATCATAGATAATGTTTACAGTTCTACAGTGTTATAATGTTTAAGAACAAAATGCAGGAAAACAGATTTTCCTCTAAATGTATTCAGAGTGGCTACTTTAGTAAGTACACCTGAGTAATACCAGGTCCAACCCCCTTCTTTTCTCCAGGACCACTTTAAAGGTAGACGAGCCTTTCTGTACACTACTGCACTGTTATTTTCACACTTGTGCTCTGTCTGGCCATTCTTCTCTGGTCCCTCATTAACAAGAGATCTGCCCCTGATTGGATATTTTTTGTTGTTGTTCATCACATCAGTTCCTGTATCAGCAACACACGGCACTTTTCTTTGTTTATCAAATTCGTCTCTGTAAACTCTAGACACAGTAGTGTATGAAAATCTCAAGAGAGTATTTGTGAGATGCTGGATCACTTCCGGCGTACTCACATTGGTCTCGCTTGCCTTGTACTGAGCCTGAGCACGATTGCCCGCCCCCCCCCACTGGTTTGTACTCACATTGCACTTAACGTTCTGAGCCAAAACACGCTTTCGCCATTGCCGTGCGACTTCTTTTGTGTTGAAGATAACATAGGAAGGAAAGCACAATCACAGAGCACAATGGAGTTTATCATTAATGCCCTTATTTCATGATTTATTTGGAGTCGTTTTAGGCGTGATGACACAGATTTATCTAGTAAAGCGATTTTTATTTATTCATCCTGCACGTATAACAAGATAGTTCCACATTTTACCAAATATCTCAGCGTTTGTGCTAACAATCACACCAAGGTCATTATCACTTATATCATATGTCATAACTGCTCAAATGCTTAGTCGATAGTAACTGAACCTCTTGACCATGTCTGCATGTTTAATGTATTCAGTTTTAGCCACATCATCCACTGTTGAGTGGGAAAGGCTGTTTGCATTAACAGACAGGTGTACCTAATTAACTGGCCACTGTGTTTTTAAGCATATTTTTATATTCTCCAGGTAATACTATACATATTGTGTATGTTGTACCTGCCTGACTGTAAATACAGCCAATTAAACCTCAGCTGCAAATATAATAAAACTATTCTTTACCATCTAATGGGTCAGTGATTACGCGTGCCAATTTAATTTACGCAGCTGGTGTAACAAACCTTAATTTCAGCCATAATTCGACTGTTATTAACGTGATCGCGCACCAGTTGGTTGAAAATGTCTTAATATATCTGGAAATAAATGCGATTTCAGAAAATTCCAGCATCTTCTGTCATGCTGTCACACCTGAACAGCCACTTTATAATCGAAAATTCACTTTATGTAGGCCTATATATAAAAATAAAACTTCAATTCTCACATACTAGTTTTAGCCGTTTCTTTAGTCACGTCGTTTATAGCGGACCATCTAACTCTCGTTATTATCGGATTCCTTAGGCTCTTTACTAGCACCCGTACCATTGTTTTATACCCTTTAATCCACAAGGGACGGGTCGTGCATTCCGGTGTTCCGGGCAATTCAGTTTCCCTGTGTTTCCCCTGTCGTGCGCTGATTTGTACACGGTTTCGCTGTTGTTTTCATGTCTTTTTAAGAAGCTCTTGAGGTAAACAAGCCATATATTTTAAAACATCACATGCCTTTTCGATGTTTTTTTGTTTTTACAGATAATAAATGAAAGTATTTAATTCGCTGGATAGAGATATTTCTTGATGAAAATGGTATAGTATTGCTTCTATAAGACTATATTATGCGTGACGATCTATTGTATTCACATGTAATAATGTACCTGAGTGATTTTCAGACATTTCACATACCTCTTAGCAAATAATGTTTCCCCTAATATTAAAGCAGTTAGACAGGGGAAACATGGGGAAACCGAATTGCCCGCAGAACACCGGCCTTGCCGCAAGTCGCCTGCAGGGATGCGGTCTTCCGAAGTCAGAAGAGCGATGCTTTCCCCTGTACAGCCCTGATGTCTTTGGGGCCACCCCTGTTCTGGGGACAAGATAAGATGATTTGGCTGCATGAGATAGCTAAGGGGAGCGTAATCCAGCACGTCTCCGTAGTGCGCAGACCGCCACGGCGCAACTCTGTGGTAGGTCTGGTCACGCCTGAAGTTTTCTTCGATTTTATTGTATGCATGCATTTTTAATTTTCCAAGGTACTTAGTGACCTTATATCCTTTTATTTCTCTTTCACGACATACTTTAAAAGGTTGAACAATTTTATATATAATATCTAATAAAATCACAGGCAGTTTAACTTGATGTTTCAAAATTGACTATTCATGTGAAATTGCGGCATCCATAAATTAAATTTATCATAAAGTGAATTTCCTACGAATATGTACTGTAATCCCACGGATTGCATGGTTTGAACGATAATACCGCAGTAATTCTAAATTTGCAGAATATTGACGTGCGGTTTACAAGCCGTCCGCTAGATGACAGTGTTTCTCAAGATTAGTAATTTCAGGCCGTCTGCAACTTATCCTGTATTCAAGAATCGCGATATTTATTGGTCATGTGCAGCAGGTGCATTGGCATGATCGCTCGTTCAGACTGACTCGTTTACAAAACAATACAAATAATGCAAAACACAACAGGCAGTGCAAAACAATACAAGCCAGTCTGGGATGTAGGAACCAGGGGGGCGTGTACCCCCAATATTTAACTTGGCTTCATCATCCTCCCTTCCAATTAATATACCTTTGGATTTAAATTATTGTGTCTCCCTCAATATAAAACTCCTACACTCTTGAAGATGGTACAAAATAGTACAAATAGTACATAACAGGGTCACTAGGGTGATGGTGAGCGTGGAGCCTGTCCCTGGCTGCACGGGATACACCCTGAATGGGATGCCCGTCCACCAGAGGGCACAGTTGCACACACAAGGGTATGTTTATAGACACCAGTAACTAACTCCGGGTGAACATACAAACTCGCCCCATACGGAGCAGGTCTGGGATGTCAGCTACCTATACTGAGTCACGCATTCCTTATATGTCTGATATTTTGATAAGTTTACAGTGTTTGGGAGTGACTGACTGACTTCTATTGTCAACAGGGAGTGTGTTGGAGCGGGAGAATGGGGGCTCCACAGTTTTTTATAAAATGGAAAATATCCTTTTGGGAAGCAATGACTTTTGACATGCTAAAGATAACGATGCTTTATTGTCATTGTAAGTACAATGAAATTTAGTTTGGAACACGGCAGCAGATGCATAATAAATCTTACAATTAAATAGAATCCGAGGCATAAAATAGAATTAGAGAATAAAATATGTATACACAATTAGGTGCTGGTAAGTTGGTGGATGAGCAATTTCACAGAGGTAGAGTTTATCAAGTGGTTTAAATACACATAAATATCGATATTGCACATATTAGGTTATTGCATCAGAATGTTAGCACTGGAATTTGAGATGTGAAAAATATTCAAATTGATTGGCAGAAGGACTCATATTTCAGGTTTTTTGTTTGTGCAAGACATGGCAGGGATGGGATGGTGGATATATTCACATGGGAGGGGGCATGGGAGAATAAAAGGGGTCTTTTTAACAAAATGGGGGGGGATGCAGCCTCGTCGTAGGCGAAACTGGCAAGGAAAATGAGCAGCACATGTTCAGATGGGGCAACAAGGGCTGGGAGTGTGGCCTGGGGGGTCTGGAGGGGTGAAAGGCAAACAGAAGAAGAGATAACTAGATGTTTACTAGGACGTCCGAGCCGCTGTTCTGAATTTGTGCAGTGCACTATTCCTGCCTGCAGATGGCAGTGCAAAACCACTGGTGTCATATTTTTCTCATCACTCTGCTCAATCAACCCCCGACTCAAGTCAACTGTGGCACATAATTCATTTCATCTCTGGATGCATTAACCCCATGTGACCAAATATTCTGAAGATTCAGCCGTGATCTGCACCTTCCCGTGTTGCATTGTGGGTAATCATTATCATTTCAGACCGTAATGCTGAGTTCGACCTTTGCCTTTCGCCTGAAAGCGTGTGACCGTGACGCCCTAAGGTACACACCATTACATGCCTCGGTGAATCCATTTAAACGGCGGCCGGATTCATAAATTGACGCCTCTGCCAAAGCTTCAGCTGAGCTTGGTGGCATCGTCCAGAAGATCTGCCGCGTTGTAGCAGGGCTGTATAATGAATGCATGCTTTGCAGATGCTTGACAAGCAATATGGGATATGGAACTGGCAGGGACACTTACCCAGGTGTCTGTGTGTGTGGCCTCTGTCCCTATTTTACCAGCTTAATCTTTATATGAAGTCATTTTTTTTTGTGGTTAAACAACATGACAACATTTAAGGTAGAAACCTGGGCACTGACACTGGGCTGCTGTGCTGTGTTCTTTGCACTGCCATAAAGCCATTGGCCGCTTCCTGAATTGACTCTTTCTTTTATGGATTGTTTGCTGCCCTCCCCCCCCCCCCCCCCCCCCCCCCCCCAGCGAGATCACATGTGGATCCGAGGCTCTCACATCAGCGCTTCTCCTCCCTACCCCCGTCGGTGCCGGAGTCATTATTACACCCGAATTCAGCTCGCTGGATTGGCTGATGCAAGGACTCATGTGTTTGCTCTGTTAATGCCCGTTACTGCATCTGGTTTAACAAGCGAGTGCAGCGCCAGGCGTAGCTGCTCTGCCAGAACTGCAGAGGGCGCCGCATGGTGGATTTCCCGATGGCGGGCTGATATGAGGGAAGACGATGACTCGGGGGCGGGTGAACTTCCCCAGTCTGCTATCTCAAATCCCTGACAATAAATTGCTTATCGAACTGGACGGAAGTGAAATTCCATCCCCCCCCCCCCCTTCATACCCTAACTGGATGGTGGATTTATAGGAGGAGGGGTGGGGGGCTTTAACCGTTACGTGACCTCGGGAGAGGAGGGGTTAGCTCGTCAGATCGATGGTCCTTCCTTCAGCGTCGAGGATGGGAGTGCTCTAGAGGGCGTGCGATCTTCAAAGTGACCTTTCAGACGAGGCATTTAGTAAAAATGGCATTTCAGACATGTGTATCCATTACAGCGTTAGCGTCAATAAAACCAGGAGTGATGTCTTTACAAAAAATGTCAGCGAAATGCGAAGCTCTGAATATCACCGAAATCCTATTCTGTACTAAATAGATGAATATGGGAATTAAGCAGGAGGAAGTGCTGTATATTTCTGTGTTTGGTTCTTCTTTAAGATATCTGTAGGTATGTTTACATTTGTCCACCATCCGTCTTCTGTGACCACTTATTACATTTCAGCTTCTATCTATTTATCACACATTTTCACCCAACGCAACATACACTTTGAGGAAGCAGGGTGAGACACCGCCTGCAGCAGCTGGGGCTTATGGGCCGTGCTGGAGGTAAAATCACCCTGCGGACTCTGGGATTCGAACTGGTAACATTTTGATTGCTGCCGCAGCAGACTGACCCACTGAATCACAAGCCACTCCCCTCATACTGGGAACCCTGAGTTTATTCCTGGAATCATAGCGGGATACACTGGACAGGACGCCAGTCCATCACATGGGCTTAGAGAGATCACAGATCCTCAGCGTGAAACTCAGTCTTGGTCATAGCCTGTTCCTGGTTCATCGCTACGGTTGGTGGAGTCCAGTCCTTCCAGTCCACTAGCCCCACCCTGGCCAGCTCTGCCAGGCCACCGGGCCGTAACGAGCCTGGCTTCTGAGGTCATGACGTCCCCCTTTCCGTTTATCAAGGAAACAGTGCTGAGTTCCCTTCCTCCCTGCTTCTGCTCTGAGGCCAATGGTAGGTGGTGGGGGGGGAGGGGAGGGGAGCTAAGCATACGCTGCTGAGAGGGGTTTATGAATCAGCCTTGGGCAGGGGAGGGGTCTGTCCCTGTGGATATGCACCAATGGCAGACCAGTGGGAGATGACGTCTGTAGGCAGGCCTCCCTTGGAGGTAGGCCATGTGTCCTTGCCTGGCTGTAGCCAGGCCTCCTTTGGAGGTAGGCCATGTGTCCTTGCCTGGCTTTGCCGGCCACACTGTCATATTCCCCATCCTCAGGTCGTCCCATTTCTCTTCAGGGAGGAAAGACTGTTGCCTCCCCATTCACGTAGTGTGTTCCAAGTGTGGAGTTTTTGGGCCTGTATTCCCAGCATTCCCAGTTCTGAGCTGTGGTACCGGATGCAGCCATACTGTTTTCAGTGGCAGGGTTCACCACCACCAATCTCCTGTTGGCCACAAGCACCGGTACTGTAGCTAACCAACTA